GGCCTGGCCAATCGGGGCAATCATGGGTGGAGCTGGCTGAGGGGAGGGGCTGCAGGAGGTTGGCCAGCTGGCCCCACTCCCTGATCTGGCCAGTTTCCTGGGTTCGCTGGCCACAGTGGGCTTCATAGCGACTGGTGGTTTCGGTCATCACGGCATTCCGGTCGCTGGCTTTTTATATATATAGATATGATTATACAATATGTATCTTACTGTTAAATTAATCAGTTGATTGAGATTCAATCCTCATTCTTTGAATTCAGTTTGTCTTTCTTTCAAACTTATTTTCCGCTTAGAGATGAGTAATCAAATCTGAAGTGTTTTATAAAAATAGTAGGAATTAGTGTGACTCTTAAAGCACAATATATTGTTTCTTCTGCTCAGAATGTAGGGAATTTACTTGTTCCAATGGTGCATCCAGTGAATCATTGGTATTTATTGCATCAGGAAGGGCTCTCACCTCACAGAATTTTAATTGCTGTGTATTCTCCACTTTCCTGATCACCAGGTTCTCTTATTCAAGTGCCTTCCGTTGAGAAGGGGAAACTTAGTAAAGTTCGCCTGGGTTCATTGTCTTTGAAAAAGGAAGGAGAAAGACAATGCTTCTTATTTACAAAACACTTTTTAATTTGCACAAGAAGTTCAGGAGGAAAGCTGCATCTGCTCAAGGTACTGGTTTTACATGATTATTCTATTTATGTTTCAAGAGGCATTCAAGTTAATTTAATTATGACTTTCCCATGCCTGGTATCACAAAACATTATCACAATTGCAGAGTGATGTAATGTACAATTACCAACCTTGACATTTACTATGTTGTCACTTGGACCTACAGTAACAGAAATTTAAATGTGCATTACCATTAAGATGTGCAAATCATTTCTGGTCCTTGACAGAAATGATTTGCCTATCTATACCTTCTGTTATTAGTGCCTGAAAATATTGGCTTTCTACTGCTCCAATCACCTCCTGGTTGATGAGCTCAGCCTTTGCTGAGCTGCACTCTCAAGGGCCCCTAAGGGCCATCTAGTTGCCATAGACTGACTTGCTAAATTTTATAAACATTGGGAGTGAGAGCGGTTTGGGGAGAAGAATCATGAAGTTAAATGAGCTCAATTACTTTTACGCATGTAAATTTCATTTTGGAATGTATAAAAACTTATTTATGATGTAGAATTGCTATGCTTTCTGCTGTGGCAACTTGAGAATAAGATTTGCAAATCAGAGCTTCTGAACCTATGCATGATTCTCAAGTCTCTTAATGGAAAATTGGCTTTTCCCAGACAGGTGGGGTTCTCTCTCTAATAGAATGTACCTTGATTGAAGAGTCAGATGCAAGCGATGATGACTGTAAGTCACATTCTATCACTTAGAATTACATTAGAATTAAAAATTCCTATGGCTTTTTATTTTTTTGTAGCTAAGAAAAGCTATGTAAGGAGGCAGTAGAGATGCTGAGAATAAACTCCCTGAAGTCATTTCTATATGAAAAATCCTGTTGAACCATCTAACCTGTAAACATTGTTAAACCATCTTTGGGAATTCACGTTTTACTGAATTTGTCTCACAATAATGACTTTTCAGTGTCAGGCAGAGAAGAAAGGAATTATATTAGAGCGTTAGAACTCTGTAGATTACGAAAATTAAAACACAAAACAAAACAAACCATGAAATGAGAAGGAGACCAGGATTGTAGCCCTGAGTAACCTACTGACCTCAGCTTGTTTACCTGCTTATGAGCTTAGCAAAGCCGCCCCGGTGCTGGAGAAGTGCCATATCGCTGAAATGAGATTCTGAACTTGGACACTGATCGTATTACTAGAACTACGTGAAAGCAGCTATTACTCAGATTTTGCATTCACACCTAATTGTTTGGTTTATGTGTGTTGAAGCCAAAGGTTCTGGGCAAGTGTTTGGACACCTGGATTTTAAAATAGTGGTGGAGCCCCCTGGTGCCGCCCCTTTCACTGTAGTCTTGCTAGCACCTTCACGCCAGGAGAAAGCTGCCTGGATGAGCGACATTAGTCAGGTAAGCAAGTGGCTTTTGCCATAGTTTATTTTCTTGTTTTGTTTTTACATGTCGCAACATTAACTTTTGGAGAGGATTTATTAGAGTTAATTTATTTTTATTTAAAAAGTGCATCTAGTTGCTGTGTGTTACCACTATGTATCTTGAAATGCTAGAATCATTCATTGTTTGTTTTTCTTGTTATGGTTAAAATTTACATGAAATGTAGCAATTGCATTTTAGTTCCTGGGCATTTTGTACAATCTTTAAATGTAATCACTAGTGTTGAATGGAGTTAAAATATCCCTGTTAATCTCCAGTGACCCCATGGTTTTTTTTCCCTTATTTGTTTCTGGAGTAGGAAAATGGTGAGAAACACAAAATCAGCTAACAAGGGCTATGGCGAGAAATCACAAAGGAAGGAATTGCATCAGACAAGAAATACTGTCTGTAGTGTGGAACTGAAAATGAGCTCCTCTATTCCATATGGAAAATAATAGGAAACAAATTTGCTTATTTTTCCTTTATCAGCAATATCCAGTTAGATAATTGTTGTATTTATTCAGGATTTGGAAATATATCAAAATTAGTCATGATTGTGCTGATGAGGATGTGGAGAAAAGGGAACCCTAGTACACTGTTGGTGGGGATGCAGACTGTTGCAACCATTATGTAAAACAGTATGGAGTTTCCTCAAAAAGTTAAATATGGAACTGCCATTTGACCCAATGATCCCACTTCTAGAAATATATCCTAAGAAACCCAAAGCACCAATCAGAAAGAATGTATGCACCCCTATGTTCATAGCAGCACAATTTACAATAGCTAAGATCTGGAAACAGCCCAAGTGACCATCAGTAGATGAGTAGATAAAAAAGCTGTGGTAGATTTATACCATGGAATACTATGCAGCAGGGAAAAAGAAGAATCTCTTACCCTTTGAGACAGCATGGAGGGACCTGGAGAGTATTATGCTAAGTGAAATAAGCCATTCAAAGAAAGACAAGTATCACATGATCTCACTCATATGTGGAATCTAATGAACAAAATAAACTGTTGAACAAAAGGTGGGTGGGGAGATCAATCAAAGAACTTGTATGCATATATGCATAACCCACGGACACGGAAAATAGGGTGGTGGAAGCCTGAAGTGGGGGCGGGGCGGGCTATCATGGGGCAATGGGGGAAACAGGGGGACATAGGTAATACTTTCAACAATAAAGACATAAAAAATTAGTCAGGATTGGACTTGGGCATTTTTATACCAAGCTCTTCACTCTATTAACAAATACAGGAGAAAAATGTTTGTGTAAGGAAAATATTAAAAGAAGGCTTGATAATTATCTTTAAAGTTGTTAACTCAAGGAAGTTTGGGCACATGGAAAAGACATATACTACAGATTCTTTAGCCTCTTTTTTTCTGAAGAGTTTATAGTATTTATTACATAAGACTTAAGTAAAAATCTGAATTATATAATAGTTCTTTAAGTGCTTTTTTCTGAGTAACTGAAAACTGAGGGAAAGTGGAAAGAGAATAAATGTGAAAAAGAATTATTTTTATACATCAAAGAAATTTTTCAGATTTAGTCTCATTTGACCTTTACAGCAGTGTACTGAAAGTAAACAGCAATATTATTCCCATTTCACAGGTGAGAAACCTGAGATTTGGAAGGCTAAATGTTTGTCCTAAGTTATATAACTGTGTTGAGTCAGGACTCAAATGTAATCCAGGTCTTTTATTAGCACTCTAAACATTCTTTATAGGAGTGCTGGATTTTTACTTATATACGCCCACAACTACTTTGATGGTGAATAGCTAGAAGTGAAGGTACTTTTTTGGCTAACGAAGGAATGAAAATCTGAGATCTTCTATATTTGCTTAATTATATCCTTGTGGTGATTTATTAATGCTTTCATTAACTCTATGTTCTATTAATACTTTAGTTTCTGTTTATAATGCATCTCTGACCTGAAGACACTCTGAATCATTCACAGATTCTGTGAATGTTTGTCGTGCTATTACCATGTGCTGCCAGGTGTTGTGTAGGTGCCATGCTGTCAAGAAGACAGGCAGGCTAGTAAGGAACAAAAGGAAGTAGACAACTTAATGCAACAAAACTTTGTGAGTGTTATGAAGCCAAGGGGAGTAGGAAGAATGGGAGAATAGCAATAGGCAAAGGTATTTTTCTGGTTGCTTCTAGCTTCTAGCTTCCGATGTACCTGGGACTCCTGCAATACACAGTTGATAATAGCTTCAAGTGACCTTAGGATGCCTGGTGAGGCATTATCAAAAGAGAAAGGCCCTTGGGGTGTGTGAATGGATCTTTAAAGATAGGTACTCAATGCTTTGCCTGCCTCAAGCATTCAAGTGAGACTCTTGACTTAGATACATCTTGTGGCAGAAACAACTTCCTCCTATTTCTCCAATTTGCTATGATTAGGATGTTAAATTGCATTTGAATATATCTACAATTGAACTGGAGAAGAACACTAACTGAAAGTTGTATCTTTTTGAGGGATGATATCGTCATTAAATGAAATTACTTTGTTTAGTAGAGCCTTGATATTATGTGGCTCTGACACTTAGGATTGCACTCATTCAGCAAATAAATTTATTCAGTGATGCTATATGCCAGCCACTGTTTAGGTACTTGTGATATATCATGCACAAAAGAGGCAATGATGACAAACAATTCCCCTGCTTGTGTAGCTTATAGTCTAGTGTAGGGAAGACTGAATTGAGCAGTGAACATAATGAATAACTACACACTATTTTTTTAAATTTTATTTTAAAAAATATTTTTATTGATATCAGATTGGAAGAGAGAGGGAGAGAGAGATAGAAACATCAATGATGAGAGAGAATCATTGATTGGCTGCCTCCTGCACACCCCCTACTGGGGATCAAGCTCGCAACCCGGGCATGTGCCCTTGACTGGAATCGAACCTGGGACCCTTCAGTCCTCAGGCTGACACCCTATCCACTGAGCCAAACCAGCTAGGGCTACATACTATTTATGTTAGAGGGTGATTGGGCAGGGTAAGAAGATGATTGGGCTGTGGGAGGTGTGTGGGTTGGTATAGTTTTTCAATCGCAGTCATCTCATTCTGAAGATGACATCTAAACAACAACTTTAGCAGGTGACAGAAGTAACATGTAGATATGTGGTGAAGGTAAAGTTATTCCACACAGAGGGAACAGCCATTTCAAAAACTTCAGACCAGGAGGACACTGCATATATTGAGTAATAGCATGAAAGTCAGCGTGGCTGAGTAGAATGTGAGCGAGGGAAAAAGAAACAAAGGAAGTTGTTAAGTGGAGTTGTTAAGTAAGCAATGGGATATAGAAGTTCAGTGTTTAGGTCCAGGCTCTGCCATTTAGGTGATAGTTCAGGCTGCGAAACTGTTGAGATCACCCAGGGAATAACTAGATAGAAATGAGAAGAGGTCCATGGCCCCAACGAGAGATCGGGGAGAACATCAAAGACGACTAAGAAAGAACCCCCAGTGCAGTCAGAGGATAGCTAAGAGGGCATGGTGTCCTGGAGGTCAACGAATAAAACATATCCAGGAGGGAGTGGTCACTTGTCAACTGCTACTAATGAGTGTCCTGCGATACTTAGTGAGTGTCCTGATGTGGGGTTTGAACGGTGAGTGGTAGGGAGGGAGTGCTCCACTGATGACTGAACCTGGCCTGCTGCCCAGCAGCCTGAATCTCAACTGGCTTTGTTCTCTGGTTAAAGCATTTCGTTTTCTGGGGGAAATTATGTGCTATACATACATTGATGGAATTTGTCAGTCTCCCAAGTATGTCTCTGGACATATTTATTATTAATAAGTTGAATCTATTGAATGCTTAAAATGTACTGTTTAATATTTTATGATGTACTAGTATATGTAAAAATATGGACACAAAAGGGAACTAAAAATTACTTCCAACACCCGGAACACTAAATAAATGTTTATCAAAGTATTGCCACAGATCACTCTGTTAGGATTACCTGGAGGCTTTTTAAAAATGCAGATTCTTGAACCCCTATTCCAGATACCCCCAACGTTTAACAAGCTCCAAGATCATTTTAGTACAATTAAATTAGAAAACCTTTACCCTGAAAATCAACTGTTTCCATCTCTAAATCCTCCACAGTCTTGCTATAGAGAAATAATTTCACAGTTTGGCTCTCAATGTATATATGTATAATTTTTGCTTTTTGCCTCATATACGTCTTTCTATAGATATGCAAATTCTTCATATTGGTGTCTTCTAATATATATGTCAAAATATATATATCAGAATATGTATTTGTATATATAGGTATATTCTACCACATTAATGTACCACTTTTTTAGATTTTTTCAAATATTTGGCATATCATATGGGCAGTTTCCTGGTTTTGGTATTAATAAATGCTGTGGTGCTAAACATCTTTGAAAAGTTTTTTCCCTTTCAAGATCCCTGGCTGTGTATCTTTCCCACAGTAGGTGAGACTGGTACAGGTCCCTGATCACTTTCATGATTTCATAATTCATGACTCAACAGACTACCAAAATGCTTCAAGAAATATATAGCTCTTCATTTCACTACATCATCAGTAAGGGATCTATGCAGCTTTCTTTTAAGTCCTGCCACATTTATCATATTTTCCTATTTAATGGAAAAGCGGTATTGCTTTCTACTGGTTTTAGTTTACATGTCTGTAATTATCAATGAGATGAACATTTCCCACTATTTCTGTTTCTTGTCCATTCATGCCAAATGGACATTTATTCATTTTAGCTCTCCTTAGAGACTAGGGAAATGAACATTTTCTTTCAATTCCTATTATGACTATGTTTTCTATTATATTGTCTTTTTATTTGTCATTCTTTATTTTGCTAAATCTTAATATTTTTGTGAATTGATTTGAAGTCACTGTGCTAGGCTAGCGTGTTACATTAAGCACACGTGGCTATGATTTTAGATAATCAAGTGGCTCCAGGGTTTTGACACAATCCCAGTTTCACACAAAACACTCTGTTCAAAACTGTAGGCTAAGCCAGGCCTCCGTCTCTGAAGCTGTAATTTTTAGAAGTTACAATTGCTTCAATGATTACTTGCACTTTTAGCTACACCAGTAAGGCCATTATTAACCCTTGACGCCTCCAACAAAACTCACACGTGGCTAATGGTCTTGACCAATAATTATTCCCTTTTTCATCTATTTATAGAAAAAAACCTTGAGACTGGAGATTTGACCATTCATTTCAATATAGTGCATTCATTTGTGCTTGTCTTACTGTCATACAATAATGGTCACTTAAACACATTTTTCTGTAATTATGGGTATTAACTAAAATGCAGAATTAAAATTCACCTCTGAGCTTCTCGATTTGGGCAGATGTGTCAAAATATAGACCCATTTAGACTAATTTGTAGCATGCTGACATGCTTTTTTCCCCTTAAAATAGTTTCTCTGAAATCAATAGGAAATTTTCTATTTTAACAAGAAGGTGAATTAAAAAAGAAAAACTTAATCTAACCTTTCTTCCCTCTACCTAGATGTATTAATAAGGTAAAAAACATGATGACATAGTAGACTACTGACCTTTGAATAGATATTGCCTGAAGCAAACCCCTCAAAAACCCTGCTGGAGAAGTCACTGTCAAGGACCAGCTGCATCACAATTACCGGGGGCTTTTGTGAACACACTGTTCCCAGCCCCAGCCTACTTAGAGTCATCACTGCTGAACTACTGTATCCATGGCCCAGGAATCTGCTCTTGTTATCCTCGTAATCTCAAGGTTTACTGTAGTTCACATAGGTTCAACGTTGCCCTTAAAGATAAGCGACACTTTGCTTATTTTCATGTATTTCTTGAATGAGTGAATTGAATTCATTTTCTCAAGGCACAAACTCTTCTCTCCAACACTACCAAATACATGCTTATGTGATCATGAGTATTTACCACTCCTGCCAATAAAAACATTTGCTCACTTGCGTGCGTGCACACACACACACGCACACACATGTGCACGAGCTTTTTGAAAGTTCATGTTACATCACTTTGCTTTTACAAAAGACCTATATTGTTTCAAGGTGCTGTGGTGTAAGGAAGTGAATTGAAGAGGACTTAAAAATATTCCATTTTATTTCCAGAGTTGGCATCCTCTGTACCTGGTCATTGAAATAATGGCATGCGACATGAGGGAACAATTTTTTTTAAGGAAAAAACAAATATGAATATGGCTGATATACTAAGTAGACTGAATAGTCAAGTGATGGCAGTGATCTGAAGTTTCTTATACGCATATTCACTCTTTCATTAGATGTTGGGGTTTAGGGTGAACTCTTAGTTGACGATCTATGTGAAGTCACTTGGCAATCAGCTTCTCCACACCATTGAATTGCAGTCATAAAGCCCCACATGGTGTTTTAGTTGCTAGAAGGAATTTCTGATTTTAAAATTGTTTAAATCTTTTGTATTTTCTGCTTTCCCCCCAAAGGGAATATGTATAATTCAAAATAAATCCCCTCTAACCCAAAATAATTGCAAAGAGAAATTAAAAAAAATATTTTATTGATTTTTTACAGAGAGGGATAGAGAGTTAGAAACATCGATCAGCTGCCTCCTGCACACCCTCTACTGGAGATGTGCCCACAACCAAGGTACATGCCCTTGACCGGAATCGAACCTGGGACCCTTGAGTCCGCAGGCTGATGCTGTATCCACTGAGCCAAACCAGTTAGGGCACAAAGAGGAATTTTTAATTGATAAAGCATACATATAAAATAAAGAAGGCAGAGAAAATTAGCATAAGTTCCTTTTAGAAAGAAAAGAGAAAAAGATGAACAGAGTTTGATGTATGCCAGAAACAGGAGAAATTACACCATACATCCTCACCAAACCAACATGGTACCAACAGAAACTAGTAAAATGTGGGAATTTATTGGCAAACAAACAAACAAACAAACAAACAAAAACACTGGGAAACAGGCACAGAGCTTGCTAGTGAAAGGGAAGATAATTTATTCTAAGGAAGCCACCATATCTCCTCTGCCTGCCACACACCACCCGTAGGGCAGAGAATGAACACAGCAGAGGGAGTCCCATGAGAACGTACTAAACCTCTCAGTAAGTGCCGCACCTGCCAGAGAACTGTGACAATGTGACGTGTGGTCAGAAACCTTGGGAAACACATTGCAGGAAAACATAGTCCTTATACCTACTCTCAGGTATTGACCAGGTGCACAGTTTTGGTATCTAGACATTGAATCTGTTCATCAATGTGTAATGTTTACCTGCCACTGTGCGTGCACCTGTGCGCACACACACACACACGTGTGTGTGTGTGTGTGTGTGTGTGTGTGTGTGTGTGTGTTTCTGAGCGGGGTGGGGGGGGGAATGAGAGAAGGGAGGGAGGGAGAGAGAGAGATGAGAAACTAAATTGTTTTGTGGCTATAAACAATTCTGGGAATATATGATCTGCCTAGGTTTTCATGTGGGTTGTAATTGTCTATTTTTTAATTTCACAGTGTGTGGACAATATACGGTGTAATGGTTTAATGACTATAGTGTTTGAAGAGAATTCCAAAGTCACTGTGCCACATATGATTAAGTAAGTGGTGTAATACTTTCCCTTGCATTTTAATCAAGATCAAATTGGTAGAGAATGTGAAACCATGAATAAAATATTGCTTCAGTAGCATTCTGCTTCATATTGTGAATGTTTCTTGACAGTAATATGATAATTCATGACATGCTAATATAAATAAGACTATCAGAATGGTTTTTCAGGTGTGTAGTTTATTGACTCACAGCATAGAAACATTGTTTTTCATACTGTGACATATGCCTTCACTCAGGAAAACTTACTGAGATTTTCAAGTTCAGTATAAGAAGTTGTGACAGCCAGATGTGTCCAAGGTCAGAGGTTGGGTCAAGGTATGGCAGATGCTTTGGTGTCTTCCCAGTGGGTGTGAATCTTATCCCTCAGATTTGGTTATAGAAGTATGTTTAGATTTCAAAAACACCTAATAGGAATCATATGACTGTTCCATGGTACCATCTACCCACTGCCTGTACATGGATCTGTCCTAGAGGCTGTTTCCCAGAGCTGCCAGGCTGCTCTCTGTTTTCTTAACAAAGTAAATCCTATAATTTCAAGTGATCAATAGGGAAACTGCCATTTAAAAAGAGAAACTATATCAATAGCTATGTGCCATAGCTCTCTGTATTAATGCTTTCACCTCTATGTACTTTTGTCTTTCTAAATTCAGAAATTGTTTTGGGAATTTGTAGCTGACCAATTTGTTAATCTCATTCTTTTGGGTATTTTCATTCCAAATTCTAAGAATAAAATGTATTTATAAGAGCAGTTGTTTTATATTTTTAAAATTAAAAAATGTTTGTCTTCTATCCCTTTTTTATGGACTCTGTTGGGGTCTGAGCTATTTTTGCTAAGGCAATAAATAACATTAACTTTCCTCTTCATAGGTAGTAGCTCTAATTAGCATGATTCTAATGGTAAAAATTTTAAAACATTAAATATTGTATTAGATGAAGGCAGAGTACATTATACTAGTGTGATAATTACTATAGAAAAAATGATGAAAGAATGATAGTATTTTAAATTACTAGTCAAATTTAAAGATATTTGCAGTAGGATTATTTTGAAACTGGGCAAAGATTCCTTTAGTGTTCAGTTTTCTAGGTTTTTAGTTTAGTATAGTCTTTTTAGAACCAGATCAGTTAAAAATATGTGATGCTGAGATTAAAACCAAGCATGGACTATTAAGTCAAAAGGTCCAAATTTAGACTTAGTTTTATAATTCACATTATTGGGTTAGAATTTTATTATTAATTTTCTACTCATGGGATTCTTATTTTTATATTTCACAATATAATATCTACTATTGTTATTTGTTTAAAAAGTACTATCTTGAAGGTTAGACAGTCATGAAAGTCCAAACTGCTTTAGAATGAGAATATGTCAGTTGGACATGGTAGCCTAAACCCCAGAGCAGTTGCATACCCACTATTTACATATTTTGTTGACTTTAAAAAAATTAATACAGATAAAACTTCAGTTTTGCGCCTGACCGGTTATGGCTGGTACCCAAATGCATCTTCTGTCCCCTGTGAAGGCAGTTTGACCAGCGTCCATGTCCAAGCTTGTTTGTGTAACTATCTCCCATACAGATCAAGACTTTCCTGCCTTTGGGTACAGAGGTGACACTTGAACGAGTAGGAACCATTCTCCTGTAAGGACAGAAACCTGTATCTTGAGCTGTAAGGATTTTCTGATAGAGTCACACCTATTTTGATGCCATCTGTACTATACTAGAATTATAACCAAGGCAGTTTCATGTATTTCATATATTTCTTTCTTCTATTTTCCCTGCCTCATTGAGCCTGGCCCTCCTCAATCAGACAAAGGGGGATGATTTTGTAATTTCTATTTCTTATGACAGTCTCCTCCACGGCCCTCTTTTACCCTAAATTCTGTATTCTGGCCTCCCTGTGCATCTCCTTGGCAGTACACCATGGGGGGTGGCGGGGGGGAGAATGACATTTTTCAGAGTTAAAAAAGTTAAGGCCCTCTTTTACCCAAAATTCTGTATTCTGGCCTCCCTGTGCATCTCCTCGGCAGTACACCATGGGGGGTGGGGGGGAGAATGACATTTTTCAGAGTTAAAAAAGTTATCCTATCTTCATTGTGTCTTGTTACTGACATGACAGCACTCTGCAGGCACTCACTTCCTTTGAAAACTTCCTAATTATAATAGGTGATATGAGTTTGATGTTTTAAGATTTTTTTAAGTGTTTACCAAAAAAGAGTTATTATCATAAAAGGCTTAAGTAACAACATTATATCATTCTTGGGAGTCCCTTAGGAAATAAAGACCTTGTTCAGTATAATAAAAGAAAATTAAATAATTTCATAATATTCAATTTCTTTTCTTTACTTAAAATGAATGTGATTACAATTTTAAAGGACAGTAGTGTAATTAGTCAGTTTTATTTTAATTTCATGTTGGCTACAACATATTTTATCCTCCTAGTGTTTTGATTAAAGTAATTATAGTCAAAAGATGCAAATCTGCCCAGCCAGTGTAGCTCAGCGGTTGAGCATCGACCCAGGAACCAAGATTCTTGCTTAGGGCACATGTCTGGGTTTCAGGCTTGATCCCCTGTGGAGGGCATGCAGGAGGCAGCCAATCGATGATGTTTCTCTCTCATCAATGTTTCTATTTCTCTATCCTTCACCCTTCCTCTGTCTCTAAAACAATCAATAGAAACATATTTTTAAAAAAAGATACAAATCTCAAAGTACTATTAAAATGCAAGATCGTGACATTTATTAGGTAAAAATATCCCTTTCAGTGGTATTTTACATTTATGTATTTAGGTTGAGGTTTGCTTTCCTTTAATAATAGTTAACCTCAACCTTCCTAGAAAGTAAGAGTTCTTTGGTGGAAAATGGTGGGAGAAAAAGTGATTACCTCAGTCAGGCATCTTTAGACAGACTGATTCATAAAAGTCTCTAAGGTCTTTTTCACAAGTGAGAAAATTAAGAACCAGAAAAGTATAGTTGGTTGAGGCTCACATAGTGAGTGGAAAAAAGAGCCATGCAGTTTTCAAGAATCCCCAAAGATATGATGTGCATTTTCAAGATCAGTAATGAGACTGAAACTAGCAGCCCGCCCTTAGTCAATTCCTCAGCAGGGCTGAGCAGCTCATTTAAAATGCCATTTCAGGCCTGCAAAGGAAATCCTTCCACCTGCACTGAGCTTACTTTGGGGTGGGAAGTTTCCAAGAGCAAGCTAAGAAAGCTATTGATTCCTTTTTATCCCAAAGAAAATAAATATATAATTTGAAACCCCTCGAAGTGCTGAAAGGGATAATTAAGGGCACTCACACAACAAGCCAACTGACTCTTGGCAAGCAATTACCTCATTGAACATCACTGGCCCTGTAGCATATCTTTTAATCAAGTGGTGAAACCCAGGGCTCATTGACCGCCTGCTCTGAGATGCTGCAAGGAAAGGGAACACAGGATCTCAGAAGGGAATGTGAAAGCTCAGGGCAGTCCTGGCAAAGAGGGGCGTTTCTCTGAGCCCCACTCGGATTCAACCTCTGCTTCGACGTTTTTTTCTCTTACCAACTTTGCTTCTCGGCGGGCCTCTTTTGCCCTTTTTGCAAATGCACACCACTGGCTGAGGGCTCTGAGCGAGGCAGAGGGACTTGAGGGCTGCTGAGAGTCCTCTCCTCAGTCTGCTCTCCACAGGCTCCCAGTGGATCAGCCCAGTCAGGTTGAGGAGCAACCAGAGGCGAGGTTTCATAGGATGAGAAGGAGCAGAGCCTTGCAGCAACCTCTACAAGGGTTCACAGCTGATGTTTCAACCATCACCTTTTTTATTGAGGTAAAATTGGTATATAACATTATATTAGTTTCCGGTATACATTATAATTTGATGTTTGTATACACTACAAAATGATGCACCATAAGTCTAGTTACTACCCATAACCACACAATTGACCCCCTTTGCCCATTTTACTTTAAAAAATATAAAGACATTTTTAATACTGCAAAATAGTGAAAAGAAAGCCTTTTACACAACTTATGGATTAAACTGTACTCATAAAACAGATTGCCTTAAATGCATTAATAATCCAGGAAGAATGGAGTGAACTAAGTGTTCAGTTCAAGATGTTAAAGAATGACAAAATAAACTGCAAGGAAAGTGTAGGAAGGAAATAAGATCAGAACAGACATTAATAAATTAAAATATAGAAAAATAGTAGAATTGGTAAAGAGCCAATTCTAGAGGGGAAAATTCCTTATATTATCATCTATTAGTCAGTCTAGTCAAGAAATAAGGGGAAACACAAATGCACAAAATTAGAAGTGAGAAAAAAAACACACACCACAGATATAGCAGTGATATCTGTCTCTTCCCCTCCCCTAACCCCTCTGTGGGGAGAATGCCATCCATTAGTTTTTAAGGGCATTTTTGATATTCTGATTTAAGGGCATAAGCAAAGCCCCTCCTAAATAGGGCTGTTGGCCTCATTTTCTTACTAAAACATGATTGAACTAGAGAGAGAAGGAAGGGTAGCAGATTATGCCACCTCAAAATATGCCACTTAGTTATATTGATTATTTTGAGCAATAGGAACTTGAAAAACAGCTAACGCCAGAAGAGTCTTTCTCTAAACTCCCTTTATCTGCCTAAAGACAGATCCTCCAAAAGGTACTTAATTGTCATAAATCCCTTCCCAGGGAGTTTCATCAAGCAGAGAGGATTCACCCTTATCACAGGAGAGGAGGCTAGACGTCAATACCACTCCCAGACACACTGTCACACACTATTTTATCTTCCCTCTATTCTTCTAGAGACCCATTCACCTTCCCCCCAAGTCATTCACTCTTCTTTAAGTGACCGCCATTCCTCCTCCCCTTTCCCTGTTAAGATGATGTTTCATCCTGAATCTAAGCCACCTCGGGGAGTTACTCGTTTCTTCTTGGGTAATTCCCAGGTATCCATGTTAATAAAATTGTTTGTTTTTCTCTTGCTACTCTGTCCATTATTACCGGGGTCTCAGCCAAGAACTCAGAAGGGCAGAGGGAAATTATTTTTCCTCCCCTACAGAAGGAATCCACAACATGAATGAATGATTATTATCTTCTCCACAATCAGTTCTGACCTTCCTAAATTATAATGTCATAGTCGATGTTTTTAAGGCCTGCCTTGTTTTCTGTAATGTGTCATATCAACATCTTTTATCAAATGCGGTGGGAGGCCCTTACCCAAGTGTGTGTTTACCGGCGCGTAAACACTCCGTGGTCGAGAGGCACATGTCTTGGGTTTGTTCTCACGCTCCTGCTTTGTGCGCAGGTCTGATGCCCGTCTTCATAAAGACGACATCGACATTTGCTTCAGTAAAACACTCAACTCCTGCAAAGTGCCCCAGATCCGTTATGCCAGCGTGGAGCGCCTCTTGGAGCGGCTGACGGACTTGCGGTTTCTCAGTATCGATTTCCTCAACACCTTTCTGCACACCTATCGTATTTTCACAACGGCAGCCCAGGTGCTGGCGAAGCTTTCTGACATATACAAGAGGCCTTTTACCTCCATCCCGGTCAGGTAGGCCCGGGGTTTGCCTCTCATGAAAGTGTGGCCTCCTGGTTCCTGGGTCTCCCGCAGGTGAGCAGCCCGACTCTGCAGAGCTGCCCTGAGGGTATTGTCTTGCCTTCGAACAGTAGAAGGGGGTGAGTAGAGGTCTCAGATTGGTCTCGAGGGGAGAATGTGAGAATCCTATAGTCCCCAACTGGCCTTTGATTGCTCTGTGATTACTTGGAAGCTAACTCCATTATTTGAGGCGTTTCTATTTTTTTTTCTTTTTTACAGTTGTGTTTTTCAAACTTGAATTTGCACAAACTTTAATATGTTGTGCAATTGCAGGCTCTGATTGCAGGTCTGGAGTGGAGCCTGAGTCTGCATTTCTAAAAGCTGTCCAGAGACACCAATGCTACTTGTCTTTGGACCACAGTTTAGTAGCAGGGGATTAGACATGGCCTAAAAAGTGTCTGTGTTCCTTTGGCCAGTGTGTGGAATACAGGTGGCATTGAAATGAAGGAAACCCAGCAACAGACGTGCGATGATATTGTGGCCTTTTAATGTCGGGAACATGTTCTTGAATGACGTCGGGGGAATAATTTTCACTTGGCTACAATCTGTTAATAGCTTTTGCTCATATTTCCAGGTCACTGGAATTGTTTTTCGCCACCAGCCAGAACAGCAGAGGTGAACATCTGGTTGATGGCAAATCTCCACGCCTGTGTCGCAAATTCTCTTCCCCACCACCCCGAGCCGTGTCCAGAACATCCTCCCCAGTGAGGGCCAGAAAGCTGTCCTTGACTTCTCCCTTGAATTCAAGGATAGGAGCCTTGGACCTGACCACCGCCTCGGCGTCCAGCAGTCCCACCACCCCCCACAGCCCTGCTGCGTCCCCACCGCCGCACACTGGTAAAGTACCGTTGGATCTTAGCAGAAGCCTCTCTTCTCCAGAACAAAGCCGGGGATCTGTAGAAGAGCATGTAGATAACCCCCGCGTGGATCTGTGTAACAAGCTAAAACGAAGTATTCAAAGAGGTATTATCCAGCTGCCACACCCCATGTTTGCTGGCCACCTGCTTCCCCACCGTTGCTTCTGGAACCCTAGTTCCCTCTTTTTATGACTTTCCTACTTCTGCATAGAATGTAGAATGTATGCAATGAGTAGTTAGAAGGAAAAACTCCTATAGTTCCCTCTAGCTTTTGTGGAAAAGAGATCAAGGTTAGTTCTCTTACTGCCTTCTATAATAAAAGCTAACTGCGGTCTATGGAAGAATAGCAGTATCTGAATGGTATTATTGGAAGGTTCTTCATGAAATATGATTAAGGCTGGTTGGGTAAAGAGCCTACCTAGCATGACACTCTGCATAGAGGTAGGTTGGGGGCACCTTCACCATGAGTTTGGCGCTTAGAGCCTTCTTCTTCTGCAGTGTCTGCCTTAAGCACCTGTACTGCTTCCAGCCTCCCCTGCAAAGGATGATCTAGCCTGGAAGCGTTAAGGTGGTTTCTTCAGTTTAGTTACCAAGGCAACACTCCATGTTACAGCAGAGATATGGGAAGGAAAATCAAATCTGAGACAGTGTTTATTGTCCTTGGCACCCAAAATGGTTTTTAAAAAGGTAGATTAAAAAAATAGTAAAATTTTAAAAAAGGTAGATTCGATTATTTGTTTTCTGATTAAGTTCTCTAAAGTCTTCCTATCACACTTAGTTAAAGTACATTCTCCCTGCCAAGGCCTTCAGACCCTATCAGACTTGGATACTATCTCCCTCTCAACCTCTGCTCCTGCTCTGCTCCCTCATCTACTAGGCTATCGTCACATTGATTTCCTTTTTGTGTCTCAGAAACATCTCAAACATTGCTGCCTCAGGGCCTTGGCATCTGTTCTTCCCTCTGCCTGGACAGTCTTTCCCCATCTAAGCTCCGCGAGGTTAGCAACCTTATCTATCTTGTTCACCTCTGTACATTCAGTGCCGTGGCCAGTGCCTGGCAGGTAGTAAATTTTTGTTAAATGAATGAATCAAGCAAAACTCTCAGTGAATTGTTTGAGGGTCTATGGCGTATCGCCTTACCTTCCTCAGCGTGGTACAGTGTAGATAGGGGTCGGAGGAGGTGACCCTTGTTGCTTCTGTAAATCCAGTATGTCTGCAATGTAAACAAAAAAAGGTTTCACAGCCAAATTAGCAAACAGCTTTATTTATTTATTTTTTGCTGTATAATAACTGATTTACTTCCTGATAACAAAATAAAAATTGGGCAATTAATCAGACAATGTGTCCAAATTTCAAGGAGGATCACCCAGATGGAAGCAGAGACCCCTGCTTGTCTGTCTGCTTGAAGCTTCTATGTACTTTCTAGCTCCGATCATTAATATAAGCTTCCTGAGTGAAGTACTTAATGGAATTTTAACTGGAGTGGTTGTCATCATCAAAAGTAGCACCCTTTAAACAAGAAATTCTTTAATTAAATTGACAAGTTAGCAACTAAGGCGGAGGAAAGGAGGAAGATAATTAAAAAGTCATTAGAACAACAATTTTCAGCAAAATCATGATGGATTCTTCTCAGGAATAATGAGGCAGAACACAAGCTGACAAGCGCCCCTGGGGTTTGATCCAGCACCTGTGCCTGGGCACCTCCACAAATAGGATGACTTAGGAAGGCTTTCTCAGCCCCCCTCTGCGGCAGGGTGCCCTGAGAACTACAGGAGTTTCCCAGAATGTGGGGAGTTCTTTCCACTCCTTTATTGGATTGCAGTAAATAAAGGAGGAGAAATCTGAAGATAAGTCTAGTAGATTCTTGTGTTATTTTGAATTCGAAGAGCTTCAGGAATAAGCATGTGAGTGTCAGACATTTGTGGCTCTGAGGCTGTGGTTTGATTGCCTCTGGGGCTGGAATTAGAACATGGCAGGTATGTTCAAGGGTCATTGCTTCGCCTTCTCTGTGCCGGTTGTTGTGCCACAGTGTCCATGGTGGTAGATAAGATGGTGCCCTGGCCCCTTACACTCCAGTTATGTGGAGAAGATAGACATCACATAACTGGAAGGGCAGGTAGTACAGGATATAGACAGAGTGCTCTGGAGGCTGAAAAGCACAGGAGATCATGTCCGGTTGAGTAGAATCAGGACATGTCACTGACATGAGCCAGAAGAATGGATAAGTGGGTTAGAAATGGGTGAACATATGAGCAAAGGGCTATTGTTAAACCCAACTGGTGAAAGCCATTTTTGAGGGCAGGAGACATCATTGCTTCTGAAGGGACAGCTTTTATATATATACTAGAGGCTCAGTGCATGAATCTGTGCATGGGTGGGGTCCCTTGGCCTGACTGGCGATCAGGGATGATCTGGGCCATCTGGCCAGGGGGAGGGACTGTGGGAGATTGGCTGGCTGTGGGAGCGCATTGACCACCAGGGGGCAGCTCCTGCATTTAGTGTCTGCCCCCTGGTGGTCAGTGTGTGTCATAGTTACCGGTTGACTGGTCATTTGGTTGACCGGTCGTAATGGTCACTTAGGCTTTTATTTATATATATTATTTATTTAAAGAGAAAGGTAGAGGGAGAGATAGAAACATCAATGATGAGAATCATATATATCAGCTACTTCCTGCATATCCTCCACCAGGGATTGAGCCCGCAATCCAGGCATGTGCCCTGACTGGGAATGGAAACGTGACCTTCTGGTTCATAGGTCGATGCTCAACCACTGAGTCACACAGGCCGGGCCAGAAGGGACAGCTTTTGTCCAATTCTGATGCCATGTGCAGCCCTGCAGAGCAGACCCTGTCGCTAGTTTTCTAGGGCTTTCTAGTATTGAGGCAACTTAAAAAAAAAAAACTCTCCTAAAAAATCATTCTTCTTTTTTTTTGTTCTTCTTATTCTTCTTTACCATCTAAACCATTTTTAAGTGTATAATTCAGTATCATGAAGTATAGTCACGCTGTTCTGCAACTAATCTCCAGAACTTCTTCCTCTTGCAAAACTGAAACTCTATGCCCATTGAACAGTGCTCCATTTCTCTCTCCCCCCAGCCCCTGGGAACAACCATCTGTTTTCTGTTTTTAGAGCTTAACTACTTTAGATACCTCATGTAAATGGAATCATACAGTATTTGTCTTTTTGCGGCTGGCTTATTTCATTTAGCATCATGTCTCAAGGTTCATCCATGTTGCAGCATGTGCCAGAAGTTCCCTTTATTTTAAAGATGAATAACATTCCATCATATGTGTGTGTGTGTGTGTGTGTGTGTGTGTGTGTGTGTGTGTATGACTTTTTAAATCCTTTTCTTTACCTGTTCTTCCTCTGAAAGACATTTGGGTTGCTTCCATCTTTTGCCTATAGTGAATAATGCTGCAGTGAATAGGGGAGTATAAATACATCTTTGAGATCCTGCCTTCAGTTCTTTTGGATATCTACCTAGAAGTGAGATTGCTGGATCATATGGTGATTTAATTTTTAATTTTTTGAGGAATGTCCATATATTTCCCATAGTGGCTGCACCATTTTACATTCCTACCAATGGTGCACAGAGTTCTAATTTCTCTGCATCCTTGCCAACACTTACTATTTTCTGTTCTTTTGATAATTTCCATCCTAATGGGTGTGTGGTAAGAATTTTTCCTCTTTTTTGTAATTTCCCAGAGATTTTCTTTTAATTGGCCTAGGGCCTAATATATTGATATTCATTTTTCTTTAATAGAGAAGCCAAAGAAAAATCTATTTCTTTCTGCATTTTAGTCTAATATCTGTCATAGTTCTAGGGGTCCTCAATTAAGCTGCCCATTGCCCACCATAATTAATTCTTTTACTTTGACTCAGTGATTTTCAACGGGTGTGCCACAAGAATTTTTAAAACATGCAATACCTGACTATTTAGTCAGGGGCCCTGACCTTTTCCCCCTTAGATTATCAAATAAAAAATGACAACAGCCATCACAACAATAGCTGACTGGTGTGAATGAATCAGATTTATAACTTTTTTGTCAGATCAGCTAAAAATATATTTTTTTGGTGTGCCGCAGAATTTTAGTAATGACTTTGTGTGACATGAGATGAAAAAAGTTGAAAATCGCTGCTTTAATTTGTTATACTCAGATTTATTTATTTATTTATTTATTTATTTAATTATTTGCATTAGTCACCAAGTTCCCTAGTTCTAGTTTTCAAAGCCCAAGCCCAGAGTTTATGGTGATGGCCCAATGCCATATCATAAAGCCTGCTCAGCTGACTCTAGGATGGAGGGAGGTATGGTCACTAGTAGGAATCAGTAGTTTTTTCTCTGGAACTAGTTAGGCTCAGGGAAGCCAAGATAAATGAGAAATAACTAGATCAAGCTCTTGGGGAAGGACACTGGCAAAGGCTGCAAAGACTTATCAGTGCAGATGCTGGACATAGGTGGGATCATTGTGGGCACAGCTAGTGGTGACTAGAGAGCTTGTCATGTGACAGCATCGATCATTTATGACCAGGGGCCTTCGATGGGGAGAGCCATGAATAACGGTGTGGTAAAATTATTAGGTTCTCTCTCGCATTACAGAAATAGCCGAAGTTGAGGGCTGAATGCCTCTGTTCGTCACTGGATTTCCTCAAAACAAATGATTTGCAGTTGGACTGTCAAGGGTTAGTTTATCCACATGGTTCATGGGTTAGAAATGTCACTTTGATGTGCCGGGTCCTGGCTAAATGCAGAGCTCCTGTCACTAGGGTGAGGGGAAGTTCAGGATTGTGTCTAGGCGAGCCGAATGGCCCTGGATAAGGTGCATTAGAGCCAGCCTCTACTCCAGAGGTGTCAGTGGCCCTGTCCACCCATTCACTTGCCCCCTTCTCTCTCACTTTTACCATGACTGCCCCTCAGCACTTTCATTAAGCACTTTGTTCTTGGCCACTTCTATGCATCTTTATTCCCACACCCCCTGACCCCCGTTTCTGTAGCTGTCTTCTGGTGACTTTTAATATATTTACTTCCCATTCTGTTCTTAAAAATATTTAAGGTGACTGTTCTAACAGGCATTTGATACAACTGGATTAAAAATAAAATAACAATAAAGATTTTTTAAAAAGTTGCTAGTGTAACACAGCAACTTAATTGATACTTCTATTGAATTTTAATTAATTTAACTTTAAATAGTCACTGTTTTGGACAACACAGTTTTAGCAAATGTCATTTCCCCAAGGAGCTCCTCATTTACCCTTCTCATAGGAAGGGATCTAGAAGCTACTTATTCATTTTATGTTATCTTTTCTCTGAAAATTTGCCTTTATTAAAATGTATATGAACAAGTGTACAGAGAATTCATGCCAGCAAAATAATTAAACAACTATGTAGCAATAATCTACACATTGAAAAAGATTGTCTTCAAGAGCTAAAAAAATAAAAAATAAAATAAAATAAAATAAACAAGGAAATCAGGCAATGAAAAAAAACTGTGGGAGGCTAAGTGTATGGTTAGTGAACAAATGAATACTGTGTGGTCCTCTGCAGTTCCCAGAGTTGCCCTGATTTTGGTTCTGAATGTAATCAGTTACATGATTCCTGTTGAAACCTAAGATAGATTGGTGTGCGGGCACATCTTTTTTCTACTGAGACTTGAGAATAATTTATCCTGTGGGTCCTTATCAAGAAAACACTGTGAGTAGGAAGCTTGGAAGTAATTCTGGGGGTCAGGGGGCTCTTTGTCGTTTTTTCTGAATGCTGAAACAAAGGAATTACAGACTTAGTTTTAATTTTATTTTGCATTGGCATATGGTTAAATTGGGTCATAAATAGTTCTAGGAAAGTCAGGGACGAAACACTACTTCAGCATCAGTCAGACAAGCTCAGAGTAGGTGTGTGTGCATGTGTGGGTATGTGCGAGTGTGGGTGTGCGCATGTGTTCACGTGTGCGTGCAACGGCTGTAGAAGTCAAGAGCGCTGCTGTGCTAACTCTACTGTCTAGTCTTGAAAATTCCAATTGGCAAAGAAAAGGGAGACGCTGATCTGCCTTTAATTTGAAAGATGTTTGCTTGTGCTTTGCATATTGTTAACACTTAAAACAGTTGGCAAACTTGAATAAGAATCCTGTGCCAACTGTTTATACATTTTCTGCTTTTTACTTCAGGATACAGCACTACACAGCCTCATTGCATAATGCCAGCTCCCCCATTAGGCCCATACTGAGGCAGGGGTCTCTCTCACTGCCGTCCAGCTATACAGTTTCAGGGTGCACTCTTTGAAAAATGCTAGTGACCTTTGTCCAGTTTTATTGTCATTGCAATTATAATGCTGGCCTTGCCATAATTCCTAGCAAGAGAACTTCAAATGACAAGGAGGGAAATAAGAGAAATAGAAAATATCTCTAGAAATGAGTGAAACTGTGAGCTGTGAACCCAGGCCTTCGATCTGTTCCGGGCTAACCCAGCATTCATTCATGCTCTCCTTTCTTGCTAGCAGGCAGCCCCACCTTCTTTTACCCTGCATTCTTCTAAAAAGCACAAATATCAGCCCAGCTCACATCCAGACTCCATCCGATGGTGGAGTCTCAATAAAGATCAAAGCAATGGCCGGCAAGAAGAGAGAGCCCAGGGCAGGGGCTCACTGAATGGGGTCCCTCGCCCAGTCAGCATTCACTTGGGCCTCGGCTGTGCAACCTACCCCGAGCATCACTGAAGGGCCTTCATCACTGGTGTCTGTTTCTGTGTTCTTGGTTTGAAAATTGCCTGCCTGTGGGCTGAAAGTGCTCCCAATTTTAGCATTTGTTTGGAACCAGCTCTCCCACTCGTCCTGTAGACAAAGCTGTTTGCATGGAACTTGATTCAAAGTGAACAGGCCAGAAGGAAATGCTTCTTTGCCCCCACCATGCTGGCACGGTTTCTTCTCTTTATAGATGTCGATCTGCTGACACTGTTATTCTTAGCTTTCCTGTTCTTCCCGTGGACATTCGGGGCCTGTCCAGCTCTCTCACTGGGAAGTTTTGGGGGCTCAATGTAATTGCTGACTCAATTTTCTCATTTGCCTCAGAGGAATGAATGGTTGGATCAGAACAAGGACATGTATTTGATATTCTGCTTGTTCTTGCAGAGCAGATGCCTTCCGTTACTGAATTTTGAGGGAGTTATTTAGAAAATAATAAAACTAACAGCTAAGCACTGGGTTTTTTTTGGTCTGCATCCTGCATCATTGCCAGCTTTGCTATAATTATGCCATTCAAGGAAAGATGCTAACCATTTCCCTCCCCTGGCCTTTGTGTGTTTCAAAAAGGCAAAATTGTGGACATATTTCTAAGGGAGTAAATCACATGCAAGTGTGAAAATGGCTTTGTATAAAGTCATTAGGAGTTTTGTAAAATTTATAGACGAAATCTTGAATGGAATGGCAAAGGGAGTTATTGAGAGTATTTCTGCTGACAGGGGTCATGTGAAATCAGTGGAGGTGACACAGCTTTTATTGGTTAATGAAAGCCCAAGGAAAAATAAATGAAAGAATTGTTAGAAATTTATGAAATTTTTGTAGTGTATTTCCTTGAAAGAACTCACACAATGTTGCAGTTGTACCTGACTAATAAGCCACATGGAAACATCAGTAATAGCCTCGGTGTGACCCTAGAATGATGTGTCTTTTATTCATGGGATGTCAGCGCAGTGAAGAGGCTCAAATTATCTCAAAACCTCCCAACTGTTCATTGTAAAACTCTCCTCTTGCCTCCTGCTGATCTGTAGTTCTATGTCTGGGCTCTCCACTAGAACTTCTGAGAGGATGGAAATGCTCTCTGTCTATGCTGTCCAGGAGTGCAGCCACTGGCCACATGTGGCTACTGAGCACTTCAAATGTGGCTAGTGCCACTGAGGACCAGAAACATTTTAAATTAACTTTAATTTTAATTCAGGTCTACGTGACCGTATTTGGCTAGTGCTACCAGTTTGCACAGCGCAGCTCTAGATCCTTAGGAGTCCTCAGGAGCCACATTGGTAGAGATGCAAACTTCAGTTGGCTTAGAGGGGCAGCCCTAGCCAAGAACTCGTGAAGTCCCAATTTTGATCCCAGACTGATTTATGCTCTGCAAAAGTTCCTCTTTCCCCATTTGAAGTAGGCGGAAACATTCTGGAGGGCAGGAGACCGGCTCCCCATCCCCTGTTGTTTTAAACATCTGCTGTTGTGTTGGACAGATGGGGCTACCTGGAGTCAGTCAGGCTCAGCAGGGTCAGCAAGACATGGGTGGGGAAGTTCTACACTTAGATTTAGTGTCATCAGCATGCTGCAGGAGGAAGGACTCAATTTCAGATGAAACCCCTCTGAAAATGTAGGCGAATGCTTATTCTCCATAACAAACTTTTGTGTTCTCTATGCATGATACTGACAAGAAGCTTCTGACTGTACCGCCTGCTTGTTAAAATTCGCGATGTTTTAAAGCAGCAGTCCTGGAGTCCGCCCCCGTGGAGCGAGCAGCAGTGGAGAGCTCCCCTGCGGTGGACGCCACGGAACTTTCACCTGGCAGGTCGCCCTCAACGCCTCGGCACCTGCGCTATCGCCAGCCTGGAGGTGAGAGTCAGAAAGGGACTCGGAAAGAAGAAGTGAAAGATGATTTCTAGCTTCTAGGTCTTTTGTTTGCCTTACTATCTCAGATATGAAAATCATTTGGATGCAAATAGTATCACTATTGAACCCGGTAGTGGAAAAATAAATGGTTAGAGAATATGCCATTAGTTTCACCAATATTTATGTGACCCATTATTGCATTGCACTTTGTGTGGAGTGATGGGAATCAGCGGGCCTGTACTCGCTGATTGCCAGTTGAAGAATCTGTTTAAAACAAGAATTTCAGAATCTTATTTTACCAAAATGTTCCCAGACTCTGATACCTTACCATAAGTGTGTATCAAATAGGCTCATCTGGGACACCACAATTTTTGGGCTAAGCTTATGAAGAACAGTGTTTCATCTAAAAAAAAGGCATAGCTGCAAGGGACCCTAATCATTATTGCTAGTGGAAGAAACCAGTATATTTTCTATAGTTATGAAAATTGGAAAGTATTACCCATTCATTCATTTTAGAACATGCCAAATGTCCTCTAATTGGAGGAAAAACCATCAGAACAGAAGATAAAAATCTTTTCTCTCTTCATTTTCCCCATTGCTCAAATAATATAGCCAAATAACAGTTATTTTGAAATGTTCCCTTCTCTCCTCAATTATTTCAAGTTGGATGGGGGAAATATACAATTATGAAACCAGATTCTACTCAAGTAACTGAAGTAAAATGTAAAGACATAGTTTTGGCTTCAGTACTTGTGCTTCAAGTAGGGCAGTTTAGCAAAAGATAGAGGAGAGTGCATGGCTCCAAACCATCATTTCATTTATAGCCTCAGCCAAGTGCTGGAAGCTGTCATCACTGCCATCAGCTCCAAGCCCAGCCAGCCTGGGTCAGGCTGTTATTTGATTTGCCCTGATGGATGGTAGACCTCGAGACTGATTTCAGGCTGCTGGTCAATTATGGGTCTTAGATGGTTCTGGTAAATGAAGGTGACAAACCAGACTTTCCTGGCTTGTCGTAAGACTATTATATAATTAGCCAAATCTCTTTACCATTCTTAGAGCCTTGGTCAATCCAGGCCTTGGTGACTTTTTTGACCATTGCACGTGGGACAGACCCCCTTGAGTTTGGGGCCAAAGCCCATGGAAGCAAACTCTACCAAGGCAAGAATTAGATGCTATTCACTTGGGTAGGACTCTCTTTTCATATGTTTATATTCATATAAAATTTTTAATTTATATAAACTTTTTTTTTGGAAATCTGCATTCTGTTTGTGGATTAACTGTCTTTTGCTTTTTCCTTGATATGACTAAGTCATAGTGACATAGGAACATAGGAAGGAAGCAGAAATCTATATTATGGAGGATCCAAATGGGAACAGTATCACACATTTTCTCACTGTGTATCTGAAATTTTAACTGTTCATCTGACCACTTGCTACCTTGTTCCCACACATGTTTTAAGGCTACTGCTGAGAGGGTAGAGCTTTTCTGTGTCCTTGTGTGTAGGTACATTAACCAGCTCTCTGCGTCCCCTCTTATTTATTTTAAGCATGACTGTAGAACTTAGGGGCAAACTATTAAAAACCCTTCAGGTCACAATCACAGTGACCTATTTTCACTAAAAGCCTGAGGGGGGAAAACAGTGATGTTGGCATCAACATTATCAAATGCTGTGTGTAAAACATCTGAGGAGGGAGAGGGACTGCAGAATGGTGCTGAGTGCATTTTTTTTAAAATTTTAGAATGCATTCCTACCTTTAAAGGTGTTTTGAGAAGAAAATTATGTTGGCAACATGATGTAGAATATTTAAAAAATGCTTTTCAGATTGAGATATACTTTATATACCATAAAGTTCACACTTTTAAAGTACAATTTAGTGGTTTTTAATATATTCATAATGTTGTGCAGCCATACCCACTATCTTATTTCAGAACATTTTCATCACCCCCCAAAAGAAACCCTGTACCCATTAGTCACTCCTCATTTTTATTTCCCTCCATTCCCTGGCAACTATTAATCTATTTTCTGCCTCTATGGATTTACCTATTATATAAATGGAATCATATAATATGTGACTTTCATGTAGCATAATGTTTCTAAGATTCGTTCATGTTGCAGTATGTATGTACTTCATTCCTTTTTGTGGCTAAATGATATTCCATTGTATGGATATACCACAGTTGGTTTACCCCTTCATCAGTTGATAGACATTTGGTTGTTTCTACTTTTTGGCCATTACGAATAATGCTGCTTTGGATAGTCATGTGTAAGTTTTTGTGTCGACATATGTCTTCATTTCTCTTGAGTATACATGTAGAGTGGACTTGCTGATGTAGAATCTTATTATTTGCCTATTAATAAGGAAAATATAGAGCATTTGGCCCAATTATTCATTCATTACAGGAATGAAATGAGAATTTTATTATAGAATATTATCCTTCTGCCTCACCATGCCATTTCCATTCTTTTTCAATAACCAGGACAGATGGCTGACAGCTCCCACTGCTCTGTTTCGCCTGCTTCTGCCTTTGCAATTGCCACAGCTGCAGCAGGACACGGGAGTCCACCGGGTGAGTAGGGGCCAGCAGCTAAGTACAGACACAAGGCAATTCATATTAAATCATTGATCTTTGCCTGTCAATCTTGTTATATACTTGTTAAGAATGCAGATTCCCATATTGTAATAACTATGTATGGCACCAAATGGGTACTAGACTTATCAGGATGATCACTTTGTAAAGTATATAAATGTCTAATCACTATGTTGTACACCTGAAGCTAATATGATATTGTTTGTCAGCTATAATTGAAAAATAATATTGGCCTGGCCAGTGTGGCTCAGTGACTGAGCATCGACCTATGAACCAGGAGGTCACGGTTTGATTCCTGGTTAGGGCACATGCACGGGTTGCGGGCTCGATCCCCAGTAGGAGGCATGCAGGAGGCAGCCAATCAATGACACTCTCTCATCATTGATGTTTCTATCTCTCTCTCCCTCTTCCTTCCTCTCTAAAATCAATAAAAAAAATAGAAAAGAAAAATAATATTTAAGAAGAGAATGCATATCCCCAGCAGCCATTCTAAGTCAGTGTGTCTGGGGTGAGACTGTTAAATAAACACCTGAGGTGAGTCTCACACAGGTGGTCTATGGGTGACACTTTTGAGAATTTCTGTATCAGAGAAGGATGTGTTGTTTCCCCATGTTTTATGGAGTTCTATAACCTTTTTAGCCATATTACCGAAAACATGTACTAGTATTTCCCTTTTAGTTGAGTGCAATGCTAAAGGCATCTGCAAGGTGGGAGGGAAGTCTGTGGAGGGGGAAGGAGGAGGGAACTATTGCTTCAACTGACTCATAATTTATATCCAGTAGCTCCTCAATGCTTTCTGAGTTGCTATTAGTTAATTTTCAGGGTAAAGCAGGAATAATTAAAAGCACAGTATTTTAATAGATGAAAAGCATATTCATGGTCTCTGTCCTCTTCTTTCACATGCAAGGAGAACATTGTGTTCAAATAATTCTGTATGTGGTTTCAACAGCCTTGTTGCTGTGAATGGCTGCACCTAAACTAACCCAATGGGTGCCGATTGTCATCCTTTGTAGATCAGTGATTGATGAAGAACCGTTGTTCACCTGCCACAAAGGAGGCCATTTCCAAAGCCTGTGAACCTATATTCAACAATAGTAACTCGTAGCTACTATCTGTGAATTTTTTTCTACAATGAAGTAAGAACAAAGAAAGATGTTCTGTAATGAACATGAACTACTGTAGTAATGATATGTATTTCATCTGAATGAAAATATTTGCAGATTGACCACGTTTTACTTCTTCAGTATTTTTGCCACACCCACTGCATTGGATGTGGTCAGGCAAATTGGGGTGTTTGGTGATTTCTGTCCTAAACATTTCCAAAACCTTCCCCTCAAAGTACCATCAGCATAACACAAAACAGCCCATAATGGTAATGATATTGATATTTTGTCAATCCAGCTGACTTCCATTGTTGATTATATTCTATAGTAATGAACATTTCTTGGTGAATAAAGAAAGGCTCACTATGCTTTCAGTAGAGTTAGTTATCAACTGTGATTTGCTAAGACCCTCTCCTGGCTATGTTCTCACAAGTGGTCTGTCTTTGGAAAAAGTGAAGTTCAGAGCTTCCTCACAGGTTTCATAATTTAAATATGGTTTGTGAGGGAAATAGTTATTTTTACCTGAGGCCCAATGCACGAAATTAATGCAAGAGTAAGCCTTTCTTCTCTCTCCCCCCACCCTCACCCCCACCCGCTGCCAGCACCGGCTTCCCTCTGGCACCCAGGACCCAGGACCTGGACTTTCCTCCGGCTGCCGGCACCCAGGACCCGGGCTTCCCTCGCAGAGGGAGGCCCCACCCATCTGCTGCAGCCCTCCTGTCAGTGGCCTGGGCCTCACTCTGCGGAGGGATCATGGGGCGATGACCTGGCCCCTGACCAATCGCATTGCACCCTCCTTGGCTGGCTTGGTGCCAGTGGGTGTCATAACGTGGTCCCGGATGGTCGTTCTGCTGTTTGGCTGTTTGGTCGATTTGCATATTATGCTTTTATTATATATGATGATTGATTTCAGAGAGGAAGGGAGAAAGAGATGGAAAGATCATTGATGATAGAGAATCATTGATTGGCTGTCTCCTGCACACCTCACACTGGGGATCAAGCCCGCAACCCAGGCATGTGCCCTGACCAGGAATTGAACTGTGACTTCGGTTCATAGGTTGATGCTCAACCACTGAGTTAGGTTGGCCAGGCAGTGAGGAAAATAGTTTTAAGTTAATTCGGGGTGAGTCCATTTCCCCATTTGCTGGAGGAGAAGCTTCTTCTTCTTCTTCTTCTTCTTCTTCTTTTTCACCTAAAATTGCAGCAACATTTGAATAAGTTTCCAAGAATGGCTTTCTGACTTTGGCTTTTCCTGGCATAGTGGACCAGAGGATAAAGCAACCAAAAGAGCCAAGTCTTCCTCACTATCTGAACATGTGGCTTCTGCCGCCTTTCTTTCTATTCCTTCCCACAGCTGAAGTGGCCTTAGGAAGAAAGTGCACTTCAGTCATCTGGCTGAGGAGGGGCAGACTGCTGACTGAACCAGCCAGTGTGGCTAGATGCAGGTGATGTTCCTATAATGTCGTCTGAAGCCAGATGGTTCAATTTTAGAAATAAAAGGAAGGACTGGATTTGGCAGGGTCTGTGGCCTCACTATAAAGACAGCAAATTGCACATTGGTCCATTTTCAGTGGCAGATGATGGTAAGACAGAGGGGCTTTCTTTTGGAATGCAGACCACTGTGTTCCTGGGGCTTAGCCACTCAGTGGCACTGGCCCTGCAGGGGAGTCCACCTGCCCCGGGAGAGCTTAGCAGAAGAGCTCAGGTTCATCGGTTGCTGAGAAAAGTTGGTTCAGAGCAAAAATGGGAACGTGCGGAGATAATCTGGACTTATTGGCTAGCCAGGGACAGCATAATGCTACCCGGGGAAGGGCTAGACACAGACGGACAGGTGTTCAGAGGAAGGGGTGCTAGGTAATGGGTAACTCCCAGGCTGGACTTTGTCTCCACTTTCTGAACCAGAGGCCCTGCTGACCTGAGTGGTCTCTAGAACCTGAAGAGCTGCAAAGGCAAGCAGGAGGGAAGGTTGTGTAAAGAAGTGAACACCTCAGACTTCAGTCAGTCTTTGCAGGTCTCCTGTCTGCGTGTATGGCTGCAATATGGGCCCACCTGGTGGTGCAGCTCTGCTGTGTCCTGGCCCATAGCAGGAAGCAAGGTACCACCGGCCAAGCCATGCAGTCTGCAGTGCAGAGTGGCTTTCCATGTTTCAGGCTCCTCTTTAGGTTCCCTCCCGACTTAATCCTCTCCCATCTCCATCTCCCGACTGCTACCCCCATCAAATGCCACAGGAACCTGGCAACTCTGGGTTAGAACTATCAACTCAGGATCAAGCTTTCAAATATTCACTCCAGACATTTGCATGTTAAGCCATTTCTCTTTAATTATTTCTTGGAAGGTTTTTTGGTGTGTTTTTTTCTTACTACATTAAAGGACTTTCAAATTTAGCAAGAGCATGGACAGAAAATTTTCTTTGCAAAGAGGCCAGACAAGATGCTCATGGCAGGCCCTGAAGGCACAGAAAGCTGGTTTTATTTGTGGAAGATGACCTGGGATTTTCATAGGATGGTCCAGCCCTGCCCCAGGGCTGTGCCTAATTTCCACACACACTGGAAAAGCCTGGGTTTTCATCCCTGATTTCTAGGGCCTAGAGCCTGCCCTTTCCAAAGAAAGATGGGCCTCTTCCTTCCACCTTTGCTTGTAAATCAACAATAATATCTCTGTTGGCAAGGAAGGAAAGCCTAATTCTGTGGGTAGGATTGCAACCCTAAACCAATGATTGTTAACGTCATATTGTAAAAATTTAACAGTTTATTTAGTGTTTGCCTTCTGATTGGCAGCCAAGTTACATTAGGCTCACTTATGGATGGATCCAAAATCTGTGGGGTCTAACTCTTATATATTTTGCGTCAAGGGAAAGAATATAAAATTTCAAATACAAACATTTAGGGTACCTCCTAGGGCCGTGGTCGGCAAACTGCGGCTCGCAAGCCACATGCGGTTCTTTGGCCCCTTGAGTGTGGCTCTTCCTAAGCCTTAGGAGTACCCTAATTAAGTTAATAACAATGTACCTACCTATATAGTTTAAGTTTAAAAAATTTGGCTCTCAAAAGAAATTTCAATCGTTGTACTGTTGATGTTTGGCTCTGTTGACTAATGAGTTTGCCAACCACTGTCCTAGGGCTTAGAAGAGGCCCCCACACATTGAGAGGCCCTGAAGCTTGAGCCTTATTGGCTTCCTGGTAAATCTGCTTACGAGTCCAGATCTTTCTTGGAATCACTGCAGCTACAGGAAATTTTGTTTGTTTGGGAGTGGAGATGGGGTGGACCAATGACCATCCGTCCGTAAAATAAGAGCCCTTTTCTGTGGTGGGAGCTTTAACTCTATACAAGATTGAGATAAAGGACAATGGACGGGTCTTGGGTGCCACCACACTGATTGCAATGTATTTTCAAGCATCTGCTTTAAAATAGAAACTAAATGAGTTCTGCATTAAAGCAGAAGCTGAAATGCATGCATTTCAGATGGCTGCTGATGTAGGGAATCTGCAGGTGCCATTTGGATATAGTTACGCTATGAATAGAAAAGCAATCTAATGAATACACACATCAGGGCACATCATGGCACTCACTATACACCTGAAGCTCTAGGATTTATTATAGAGCTTATGATATGATCTAAAATGAAATATGGAAGTGTGAGGTGGGTTATTTTTATGGCAGTACAAATAATGGCAGTGGAGGTATGACAAGCAACTCTTGATTATCTGTGAGCAGATTATAGCTTTCACCATTCTATGAAAGTCAAAGTAAATTAACAACATAGAGGAATGGTTGAATGCATTTAAAGGAAAATTAATGGCATAGTTTACAATTGCTTAGAGAAATAGTGAGTTCTCTATTGGTGATTACTTGGTACTTGTAAAGTTTTTTCTTCTA